GGGGCTGCTCAGCTGCACCAGAGAAGCTCCAGGGACACCTGAGAGCCCCTGCCAGGGCCTGCAGGGGCTCCAGGAGAGCTGCACAGCCCCTGGGGACAAGGCAGGCAGGGACAGCAGCCAGGCAATGGCTCCCAGGGCCAGAGGGCAGGGTTGTATTAGGTATGAGGAAAAATTTTATTTACAGTTACTTTAAGGAAAACATTGGACAGGGTTTTGAGCAACCCAGTCTAGTGGAAGGTGTCCCTGTCCATGGAATGGAAGGTGGAATGAGATAGGCTTTAGGGTCCATTCCCACTGAAACTATTCTGGGATCATATGAAATAAGTTGCAGTAGTAATTCATTGTTCCTCTAGAAACTCACACATTACAGCTTAAAGACAATTTTCAGTTCAGCATAAACAGGGCTTTCAAAGCACTGTTTAAAGTAACATCCTGTACTCTTTTTCCTAAACAACAGTCATAAACATTTTTGTTCAGGAAAATCCCATCAGACTTCTGTAAGAGGAAACCATACCAAAGAAATTAAATTGCTAACATAGAAAACCATAAAGCAAATAAATGGTTTGGTTGGGGAGCTGAAACTTCTCAAATACAGCAATACGTATCATCAAGGGTAGCAATTTTCACAGTAGCTTAAGAAACATAATCAACGCTACAAAAAGATGAAGACTTTTTTTTACTGAAGAGTAAAAAGGGCATTCAGGGCTTCATCGTCCTCTCGGATTTGAGGAACTACAGCAACGCAGTCAGACTTTACAAGCATTGATGTTTAAGGACATCCCTCACAACTTATTTTAAAAGAGAAATAAACAATGTTTGCAGCTGGTAGACAGGCTTCCAACTCTGCTCTCCAAGCAGGTACAGCAGGGCTGTGATGACACTCAAGCACAACCTACTGCATCCCACAGCATGCACAAGTTACACACGTCTCTGATCTGTACACCTTTAAAGCACACATTCTTCTCTAATTCCATTTGACTCCTACCAGCATCAGGAGAATTTACACAAACCTCTTTCCTCATGTCATTCCCTGAATCTCACTGAAACCTCTGTGACTACCAAAGAAATCAACACAGGTGCAACAACAGAATTCTTAGTGTCTCGCGTAGCCCTGCACATGAGCAGCTGTGGTGGTTATGTAGAACAAATGGAAAACTGGATGGTGTTTCTAACCCCATGAAATCATTTGATGCTAAAAGTCCACGTCTAATTAGTGAGGTGCATGGCAACCTCTAGTGGCATACGCCTGCTTAGGAAACAGAAACATTCCAAAGCATGAAGCTGCAGGAAAAGCATTTGCCTGAAGTGATCAGCCCTTTTCTTGTCGCTAATTTTATTAGAATGACATGGAGAGGAGATGCCAGAACACAGGTGATCTGCGGAAGACCCTCCAAGTGTTACATAAACTACAGCAGTCAGGCAAGCTGCAGAAAAGCCAGATATCATGAACGAAAGCTGTTGCCAAATAGGTTAAAGGAATCAATGCAAACTGACTTGCAGTGCTGAGTGACAAACTGAATACTTGCTCTACTATGCAGGTACATTTAAATATAACTTTAAGATACTACAAACAGCAGCACTCCTCGGTGCAGTGCAGTACCACCCTCAGCAATCTGCTGATAAAAAAGCTCTGAGTAATTAAATACAAACCCACGGTAGCAGTGCATAGAGAATCTCAGAATATTTGGAGCTAGAAGGGACCCACACGGATCTTAAGAGTCCAACTCCTCAGTGAATGGCCCACACAGGGATCAGAGAAGGCAAGGATTTCAAAGTCAGGGCAATCTACAACAGAGGACATCCAACACTAAGAGAACCCTGGATCTTACTAGGAAACATCTATTACTTCCATTTTTAACTTCCAGCAGCTGCTTGTGATAGATTTATACAAATCAGACAATTTTCATGCTTTGCTGAAACGTGATACAAATTACCCAACATTATGAAGTTGTATTTTACTGAGCTCTTAAGTGCACAACATGAATATTCCCAGCTCATTCTTTCACAGAAAATAGTCTTCAGAATTTAAAACAACTGGCTGTCTCTGCTCAGAATAGGATTAGGAAAAAGTCTGTGTGGAAATGGAATTAATTCTCACATTAAGGAAGGAGTCATTAGAGCATCTGGTGAGGTTTAAATTATTACTGTCTATTCAGTTGTATTGCTAAGCAGATTTTAAGTGTTTCAGAGCTACTTAATTTAGAAACCTATACCCTGAAATACTTCATGTAATATAAATACTATTTTGTTTTTCCTTCACAGAAAACGCTTTCTGATTAAGATGCTTGTACTCTGACGGTGAAGCAGAATAGGAGCATAAACATATATATATTCTGCTTTGTCATCATGAAACAAAGCTGGGTCCATCACTGCTGCCAAAATTTAGTAATTGTGGATAACACACTTAAGGCAGAAAAAGGAAGAACCATATATGATTTAAATACCAGCCCCTTAAGAAGTACATGTATTTGTACTGCTTTTCTTGGTAACTGAAACTTCATAGCAAATCTAGTGTATTTTGAGAGGAAGTCGGCTCAAAATACTCCCTCCATTGTGATTAAACCTGCCAAGGAGCCCAAGGCTGTAAAGTTTCTGAGAAGAAAATGCAGTAAAGTCTAACAGGAGACAGGCTGCTCCTGGAACTGGCTCTTCCTTCCAGCCTGCTCATGTCCTACTCCCACAGGACACTTTAAAACAGATTTTAATACATTTTTAAAGTCGTGTCTTTTGATTTACAAGCAATCATGATCACAGCGACAAATTAAATTCCAGCCTTGGTGGTCATTTTTCCCTACTGTCCAGATGCACAGTTTTCTAATTCCAGAGTAAGATCCTCTTTCCCTAATACTCCTCTTGTTTTTGCTGGTTCTGTTTCAAATCTAAAGTCACCTCCTTCATTACAATTTCCACTTATAATAATATGAGTGCCTGGCTTCAATAAGACAGAAGCTTAAAACCAACAGCACGGAATGCCTTTGGACTATTTAAGAATGTCATAGCATACATAATAGAGATCTTGTTGCCTTTGGTTTGCTTCTTCAGCTGATGAGCATGACCATTTTCTCTACCAACCCTTACATTACTTCCAGGCAGAACAACACAGCTCCAACTCTGCCAGCACCCAATGGCTGGGACAGCCAGCATCCTTCTCTCTGCTGTCCTACCAGACTAACATGTCTACAATTCTCCAAATGCACTGAGATCTCAGACTAATTTACAGAATCACAGAATAGAACTATAGAGCCATTTAGGTTGGAAAACCTCTTGATGACCATTGAGTCCAACCATTCCCCCAGCACAGCCCATGGCCACCACTGACCCATGTCCCCAAGTGCCTCATGGCTTCTAAACACCTCCAAGGATGAGGACTACAACAGCTGGACTCAATGATCTTCCACTCTGACAGAATCTCCTTTCCCTGTTTTCTGCCATTCACCCCCTTGCCTTCTTTCTGCATTCATCAGCGTCAAGCAGCAGAACAAGTCTTGTCTGCTTCCAATAAGAATATCACGGCTAAAAATCAAGCAGCATTGTTAAAGTTATGTTGTAGCTATTCAGGTTGAGAGACTTATTAGGAATAAGGCTCTCAAACATTAGAGAATCCTAATAAAAAGCTGCATCAAATGAGTGAAAGTGAAATTCTTGGGTCTTCAGACTAGCAAGTAACTGCTTCCTGCCCCTAATATACTCAGAAAGACACATCTCACTTTGGGCTGCAGAAACAGCCATAGAACAAAACAGAACAAAATCAGAACCCAGGATTCTAGGACCAAGCTCTGAAGTGGCAAATGAAGAATCACAGTAAGAACCAGACCAAGTTTTTGAGAGTCAGAGAATTGTATCTCACACCACACCAGGATCTCTGATTTCAGAACATTTCAAAGGCTTGGAAAACTCAGACTTCAAGTCTATGATTTGAGAAATGAGCACAGCAAATATTTAAGACAATGTCTGTGGCAAGTAAGGGGAAAATAGCTCCATTTCAAACTCTGAACCCTCTTTACTTCTGCCAAGGGTATGAAAAGAGGGCAAGTGTAAGGCAGGTGAAAGGCACCAACACAATGCATTCATTGGTAACCTGTCCTACTTATACCACCAACCATTTTCAAAGGAGAAGTGTCTTGGAGAGAATTACATCCTTAAGAACAAGCTGTATGTCATGTTAACCTAGTCCTTGACAAAGTGTACAGGTACACAATTATTATTTTTGGCACGCAGTCTGTACCTGACAAGCCCTGTAACAATTTATTCCAGATCACATTAAAAAGGACCTTCCTAGTTTCCCTTGGAGCGTGGAGCAGGGCTGGCTGCCAAGATGAGAGGGATGCCTGGCGCAGAGTTACCTGCCTTTACAATGTGCTCTGCAGCACAGAAACACAATAGGAAGGACCAACTTCAATCTCTGCTTCTTCAAAGTTCTGGCCTTGTTTTATAACCAGAGCAGACACTGACTATTGACTACTATAACACTCAATCATTTGGAAAACATAGATTTAGGCTTTATTGCCCATATTTGCAGGGTATTGTCACAAAACGATCATTTAATTATGTCTGATTTTAAAAATAGACCTTTTGCCAAATATGCAGGAAAAAATAAATAGAGAATCCATGTTGTGTAGCACTTGAGAACCACCACTCAGTGAATTTTTATAATAACTGAATACATGACTGAATTTGCAATTAAAATAAACCCCTGAAAACCTTCTGTTTTGACGGCAGATATTGAGCTGCTCTGTTAAGAGGATCAAAAGGCAGAAGTTTCTCAGACAGAGAAGCTAGTATTTTTACTGTCCATCCAGAGCAGGTTCAAATACAGAGCTATTAAGACTTATTCTGGGATTATTTAGTTACTCAGCTATCATTTCTGCTGTTTAGCTCATTGGTATCTACAAAGGCATATAAAATTAATGTTTCTGTACTACTAAAGCATACAAAATTCAAGCTTCTCTACTCCAGAGTTTCAGCAGAGATGATTTTTCCAGCAGGGTTTTTATATTTACCTGATGATCCTCTGAGCAGCATACTGATGAAGCGAGCGGAACTGTGCCGACATATTTGCTAGGGCTGCCAGACAATTTGTGTGAAGGTATTTGTCCTGTCAGAAAGAAGAGGAAAGATAAAAAACCCAACACATCAAATACGCACTGACACCTCTGGCAGGAGTAATTCAAAAGACTGAGTAATGTATGTTGTTTTTAAAGCACAGGAAGAAATGTAAAACGTATATACTCAGTGAGGTTTGAACACGTTTTTCTTAAAACATATGGCTTATAAAAGAGTGATTCCATACAAACTTCAGAGCGTCTACATACATATATGTATAAGTATGTTTGTATTTGTCTTTCAGTGTTCATTTACAGTTGCAATTCAGCTGTAACATATACACAAAGACATTTTCTTCCTCTCTACCTTTCTCTCTCTCCCTTTTGTAGTCTTATCCTAAAACTTCCTACTTCACAGCTCTGAAGTAAGAGACAATCAAACCTTACTTCAGAGCACTGGTCCCCATTTCAGCATCCCTGAAACCATTTGGCCAGATAATCACTTATCTGATGCCCTTTCCAAGTCAAGGGTTCTCGCAGAATGAAACTTGTCTGCTTATCCAATACAAAGGGGATTTATTTCCCTATTCAAGTCTAAAATATTCATTTACATAACATAACAGATTCTAAATATTCCAAATATATGCCAAGTTTGTTATTACTCCTTCCAATTCTTTTTATCATTTAAGTAACATCCTTAATTTCTGCAGTTTAAAATGTATTAAAGGTTTTATGTAATAAATTCTGTGCTTTGAATTGTTGAAAATATTCAGAAATGCATGATACTATGTTTGCGTTTGCAAAAAAGATAAAAAACCTACTGTGCATTGAAAAATGCACAAAATCAATCTAGGCTATAAGGCTCTGAAATCAAAGCAGTTTTGATTTGCCAGAGCTCAAAGAGGTCCTCAGGCCTAGTCCCTGACACACTTCCTAAAAAACTAACAATAAATAGACCTGAAATTCCTACTTTTAAGTCATTCAGAGAGGTAAATAGCCTATAAGAATCACTTCTCATGAAACTAAAGAACTCTTTCTTCTCAACTGAAGATGGGCTTTATGCCTGAATGAAGGTCTTTAGAGAACCATACTCAATGAACTGGAAGACAACACAGAAATTGTTTCAAGTTCACAAACACTTAGTTAACACAGCTGATCTATTTTCTTCCTTTCTGCAAAACCAGATGACAACTGGATGCAATAGAATTAATTAACAAAATCCCACCCCCTGTTTGAAATTGAATTCAAGCTGCTGAGGTTAGGAATTCACAAGTGCTCAACACAACTCTTACCCTTGTCCGTGTCATGTTGTACTGGATGGTTCTTATCACAACCAGTATCAGAAGACTCCCAAGTGAGATCTCTGTTAGGACACGCTCAGCATACCAAGTAATGTTTTTCAGTATCTGCAAAAAGAAAAAATTAAAAGAAAAAGTCTCTTCAGCACCTAGGTCTGAATAAGAACATAGGAAACTGTCTGGAGTCTCAAATTCCTTAAGACACGAAAATTTGTTTCCAGTCTCAAATGTTACTTAATTTTTGTACTCCAAAGCATAATTAGAACAAAATTAACAACAATAACAAAAAAAAGTCAGACCTCTGCAGCATTATCTACTACTACCTAGTAGATCTCATCAACTTTAAGTCACATGGAAATATAGCAAGTGTAGAAAGATTATTACATTTGGCATTTGCTAATTTCTATGCCCTGTGCCACCACACTTATATACTCATCTTCACCCTTGACACTTTATGAAATCTCCATTGACACCCAAGACACTTGAGTAATTCTGCCAAAGCCTTGCCATTTTCCCTCATCACTGGCTGGGCAAGAGGCAACACACAGGAGCTCTGACTGATGGGCAGGAGCACACACACTGAATGTCGGGGGCAGATCCACAGTGTGTTGGCTTCACACTGAAGCTTTTCCCTTGAAAAGCATGAAGTCTCTTCCCCTAAGACTATGAGAAAGTCATCAGCTAGATTAAGAGCTTCGTGTTTCTCACTGCCCTCCACTATCAGGGTGGATGAAGTTAATCACCATTTCCAAGTTTACTGCAGAAGGAGAATCAATCCACTCTTTCCTTGTAGCCAGCCAACCTACATGGAGGAAACACATGTACCCAACACCCTGCCTTGAAGGACTGGCAAAAATGACTCAACAGGAACTGTCCTAAAAACATGGAAAAGATCCTCTATAAATTCAGGGTTATTCACGGTCAAAACATAAATATGTTTAACAAGGACTACTGCACACAAAGCTATTGCCCTGTGTAACTTCAGGAGAGCTGCAGAGGGATTGGAGAGACAGGACACAGGGAATGGCTTCCACTGCCAGAGGGCAGGGACAGACTTTGGAATTAGGGAATGAGGAATTGCTGGCTGGGAGGGTGGGCAGGCCCTGGCCCAGGGTGCCCAGAGCAGCTGTGGCTGCCCCTGGATCCCTGGCAGTGTCCCAGGCCAGGCTGGATGGGGCTGGGAGCAGCCTGGGATGGTGGGAGCTGTCCCTGCCATGACAAGGGTAGAATCCCGAGATGAACTTTAAAGTCTCTTCCAACCCAAACCATTCTGTGAGTCTGTACCTCTGGAAGCTCTTTCACAGTACAAGAGACACTTGAAACAGCATTCTTACTATGATTCATGTTTATTAGTAAGCCTAAAGTTTGAGATATAAAAATACTTTTTTATTTTATATGATGAGACAAAATAAAAATTCAGATCTTTGAAATAAATTTAAAAATATTTTTTTAAAAGCATCTCCATTTTCACATGCTGCCCAGTACCTGGATCTTTGTCAGCACCTCTCTATTTCCCACAAGGAAGCTAAAATGAAGCCAGTGACTGTAACCTACAGATGGGGAAAACACTATTCTATGGCAAGGGTGACAAAACATCCTCAGGTAGAGGCTGAGGTGTAGCAAACACCTTTTGCTAAAAGGATCAAAAAATCAGAATAAGAGGAAGATGGAAAGACTTGAGAGGTATTTAAGGAGAGAATGGTCAAGGCTGAGGAACAAATAGGAAACACGAAATCACTACAAGAAAGGTTTCCAAAAAGAGCAGGTGATGAGTGGATGCGGAAACCAATATAATTTCTGGTTATAGCAAGTTACTAATACTATTTTAAAACAAAGTGATGATGGTATAAATGAAAACAAGTCACCCAAGGAGTTTCAGTAAACAAGGACAACTAGTTGGGATGAACAACATTGATGATTAACAGCAAATGCCTGAAAGACAAAGCAAAATATTTCCACAAAAAAAAGCAGCTGAAAATTCTAAAAGCTGTTAGTATAAGTAATTAATGAATTGCACGTACGAACTGCAAGAAGATACTCTGCTAGTGGAGAACTTGATCATCCCAAGGCTGCTAAGAATAAACATATGGTAAGATACAGCAAGTTCATGGGTTACCTCACAAATGCAAAATGCTAACGTAAGTGTAGACATCCATCCTGGTTGCCTTAATTATAATTTCTTAATAACAGCTTATTTATGACTATGTGAATATACCTGTTCTCAAGAGAAGATTTTATATAAAGAAATAAATTAACCACTTTGAAAAGTATCTCAAGCAAATATCTCAAGCTCAAATATCTGAAGCTCAGCATTGAAACCTTCCAAACGAAAAACATATTGTTATATGAAGAATACAGTATATGATCATTAAATAATGGTTACTCTCAGTAATACATAAATATAGCAGGGATAAGTTGTGGTTGCACATTTAATTTCCTGACTTTTAAATGCTTATTGAAAATGTAACAGACCTTTTAAAAAATACAGCAATGAAAATGGGTAGTATAAAGTACTATTTGTTTTGACATGACACACAATGTAAATTGAAACCAATAGTACATAAAGGAATGTATTTCCTGATGATTATTGAATAACTAATTTCACTCAATCTGCTCTGAAATGATACCCAAGAGTTTAGGTTTGGGGTTTTTTTCCCCTCTTAGACAAAATACACTTATTCTGGCCAAAAAACCATCAACTTAACTTATGAAATTTCTAATAAGTTAATTTTTCTAGTCTCTGATTTACGAGTGAAATAGCAAAGCAACCTCCTCCCACAAATAAATAATCCTTATGCTTCCTCCCACCCTCTTTGTTGCTGTTTTGTGGGGCACATCCCTGCACTTCACCAACCAAAGTGGAAGCTCATGATTCACTCTATGCTGGAACTGAGAGCAGATTCCATCTGTGCTCTCTCCCACACAGTGTCCCAGTGGGATAAGAGGAATGGGACTGGGACAACTTAAGTAGTCTCAAGTAGTACCTTGGGCCCTCAAAGATCTCCAGACACATCTTTCTCATCCACCATGGATCTTTGTTGTATATAGAAGCCATCACCCTTTCTGTTGTCCCTCCCTGTAGCTTATTCCTGCCTCCTTGCCCTCCCAGACCCCATTCCTTCTCAGCTCTTTATTTCACCTGCTTCCACTCCCCCTACCCACACCTTATCATCACAGAACCACGGAATGGTTTGTGTTAGAAAGGACTTTACAGCTCAACCCACCTTCCACTGTCCCAGGCTGCTCCCAGCCCCATCCAGCCTGGCCTGGGACACTGCCAGGGATCCAGGGGCAGCCACAGCTGCTCTGGGCACCCTGGGCCAGGGCCTGCCCACCCTCCCAGCCAGCAATTCCTAATTCCCAATATCCCATCTAATCCTGTCTTCTGTCAGGGTGAAGCTACTCTCCTTTGTCCTACCCTGCCCATCCCAGCCTGACTTCACCTTCCTCAGCTTTTTGTCACTGCTCCTATCCTCCGTCTTTATTCACCTCTCTTCTCAGCATCCCAAAATCTTACCTACTTCTTGTTCAACTCTTGTCCCTCTCCTCTACTGCACTCATCCCATGTTCCATGCACAGCCAGTCCCAGCCTGTTTCGAATTTCTCCCAACTGCTGTCACATCAGGGCTCTCCCATTCTCACACATTTTCCTCAAGACGTGGAGGTGGCATTTGGAGACTTGAGTCATTGGTGGCCTTGGCAGTGCTGGGGGAATGCCTGGACTCGATGGCCTTGCAGGGCTTTTCCAAGCCAAAGGGCTCTGTGTGGTTTCAACCCCTGCCCAGCAGCAGCAGAAACGCCCCTGTGAGCACAGTCCTGGCCCACGGGAGCTGCCGCTCGTCGCTGCCTATCTCAGCTGATAACGTGATCCCTGGGCACGGGAGGATGCACACACAGCTCAGATGGGTCTGGGAGCAGCAAAATGAGAATATTCAGTTTCCACAGACGTCAGGCCACCTCCGGCTGCGTCCCTGCTGCGCAGATGGAAACAGACTGCTCCCTGTGCCCAGACACTGATAATTTGGTCACATTTAGTCATATTATCAGCAGCGGAGCCCTGGCACAAAGGCCACCTGCCAAATTTCAGATTCCTAATGCAACACATGAAGCTACCAGGGTTCATTACGTAACACGTTGTCAGCTGAAAGCATGGACAAAGACATGTTAATGCTCCAGTTTCACCGCAGAACCTTCAGTGAAACCTTTCTTGAAACTCTGAAAATATCAGCCTATGGAAAAAAAGGTAGTTACTGAGATAACTAGTCCTTGAAATATACTCTTAAAAAATATATATTAATCCACAGTTATAAAGTTACATACCAGAACCTGTTAGCTCTCCTCCACACACTGGGGAAAGCAACCTGAGCTGAAATGGTGATTTCAAAAACAACAGCAGCAACCACCACCATCCATTCTGGGTTTTAGAGGCATGAAGCATGAAAATACCTTAAATTTCAAAATCCTTTACCTGGAACCAGTGCCTCCACTGACCAATCTCATTGGTTTGCAAGTTAACACTTAAAAAGGTAAAGAAAGAAAAGGCTTACTCCCTGAGGTGGTCTTGCAAGAATAATTTTAAAATAAATTAAAATGTTTTGATGATTGATTATTCTTTTGAATACCAGGCTCTTGGATAGTTCCGATTTAGGGAGCACAAACTGCAAAGATGCAAAGAGCAGGAGCTCAGTTTTACATACACCAAGCAGTGAGATTCTCAGTTTCCCAAAACTTTACTCATGAGATATTTTCGGACACACTAAAAATAAACACAGTTAAATCGTGATTTACAGTGTATCACCATTTACTACAGCATAAAGTGCTACAGTAGCACAATAAGGTTACTGCTACATAAAATACCTTATGATGTTATTAAAATACCTTATGATGTTATTTTGATGTATGATGTAATTTTATTTAGAATTTCATAAATCAGAGACAAAAGATCACCAATACTTGTCCCTCTGGAGAATTCTTACATTTACTTGTTTACTCTGCTATTATAATTATTGTTATTATTAGTGAAAAATTGAGTTCTGTGTGGTTACAGTGACCCCACTGCATTAAACCAATTGCAGGGACAGGACCTATGATTTGGATCATATTTTCCAGGCAGTTAAGACCACATTCATTTTAAATAAAAAAATGCTTCAGCATCCTACAGCAGTCAAAAAGAGTTTCTGTGGTTTCCTGAGCTCCTTACCAGTTGGTATAATCACCAGATTTATAAAACTTTGCTCACTAAAATTAATCCTAAAAATCAATAAATAAATGTGGGTTGAATGCCACAAAGGAAAATAGCCTATAAATGAACTGCACAGTCATGGCTCTTATAAGAACAGCACACAGCATACACAGCAGAGAGAAAAACAGGTTGATCTAAAGTACAGCATTCTTTTTTCTTCATCTTCTACCAGGTGATGGAGGGAATAAAAAAGTTCTGCTGTAACTGCTAAAATCTGGTATGTACTTGCATGAATGAAGTTTATTAAACTGATGCTAGATGCTTACATTTTACAGAAAAGCCTACACAGATTTTCTGACTCCTACCATTTTGCAGACCTATAATACCCTCTTAGGCTTTAGGAGATGTGGAGTCAATAGCTAAGCAAGTATGAGACTAATTTCATACTTAATGCTAGAGTTTTTGAACAGTAACTTGCTCATTCATACCTGAAAACATCAATTTAATTAATTCAAACACATGGGTGAGGGGAATGCATTTGTAAGTATGACTTTGAAACTTTTTTTTCCCTTACACTTATTTCCCTCCTTTGGATCTTTGTAGGAATGTGTAGGAGAAGCTCACACAGACAGGCCTGCAGCACCTCACAGCCACCTCTCATTATCCACCCAAGAACCAAATCCAGCAAAACTCTGGACTCACAGCACTATTAACAAATGGAACCAGGCACTACGGGGCAGGAAAACATAACCACAGAGGAAAGAAGCAGTTATTGAACATCTGAAGTAAAATCAAAATAACTGTGAAGAAAATGGCAGAAGCAAAGTCACAACTGAAAAAAAGATCAGTGCAGGGTTAAAGGAACAAGGTGGGGTTTGTGTTTTTATTAAGATACAAGTAGTAAACCAATATCCACATTGCAGGCGAACACTACAACTCTGTTGGCAGGGTGAGCTGAGAGGCAGGATAAACCAGACAAGAAAACTTGATTTATGTTTTCATTCCACAGCTGGATTCTCATTAAGGAATCTTAGGGAAAACTTCCACTTTTACTCATCCAGTAAGGAATTTATTGAAAGACTTATTTAATTTGTATATTGTGTAAAGCCTCTAAAATGAACAAAGAGTGACAGGGGAAGAGACTGAGGCAGGAATAACACCTTGCCTGCTGAATTCCAACTCTACACAAGCCCAGTTTATGAGAGAGGATAAATGTCTGTGTGACACAGAGCCTAAAAATACACATCACACATACATGTACAGGTTCAAGGCACACAAAGTTGAAGGCAGGAAAAAGTTTCAAGAAAATATTTCAGTCATCTGTATGGTTACTATAGGTGCTCCTAAACGCTGCTTCCAAAAATGTATTCCCAGGAAACTGCATTAAAATCATCTCTTCCTGCTTTCTACACACAAGCTATACTAAACAATATGGAATTTCAGAGAAAAAATACTGTAAGTCTGGAAATTCAACTGGGAGAGTGTTCTGTTTAGGAACCTTGAAACTTGCTTTCAGTATTTTGCATTTCAACAATTTCACAAAGATAATAATTCACAAAGATAATAATTTCCCCAAAAGAGAATTTCTGTGTCTCAGTCAAAAAAATAAATTAAATCAGTGCAAATATCTCACGTAGTATCATAGCTTTAGAAGCTGGGAAACTAGGACATAATTGTCCAAGGTATTCTCCTGCACAGATGGTCAAAGTCCATCAAAGCTAGTAAAAATTTGGCTCCTGCTATACTGACAACATAAAATAGAAATTAATCTAACAGAGAGACAGAAAAAGAAGTGCCAAGTAAGGAAGTAACATTTAGTATGGAAAATACAACTCCGGCTAAAGGCTGCATCACACTAGTTAAGCAAAGTTTTTCAAGAGAAATAAAAAATAAAAAAGGTTTCCTGTTTTTTTTCCTCTTCTAGGCCCTCCACTTCCATGGCAAACATTCAGCACCTTTGAGGCAGCCTGCCCAGCTATTACTAGGCTAATTTGTAACAGGGAACAACAAAAAAGACAGAGAAAGAGATATTTGCAGCAGTTTCTCTACAGGAGGGAGTGTGTTTGTTCATTTCACTTGGGAAAAGTTTTGAAAGCAGTCTTCAGGTTCCTTCTTCTTACAAAAGAAAGATGCGTATGCCATCAAATTTGGATGAACTCATACAGCCTCTGCTGAGGGAACAGATTTGCCCATGTATCTTCTTAGAAGTAAATATTTAGATTATTTTTAGAGCTGAAGGATTATTTACCAAAACAGCAACTCACCACTTCATGAATGGATCGGTTGAAGCCATCATCCTCAGTGAGGATCAGCAAAATGATAAGGGCCATGTAAACATGGTGTGAATTCCTTTCTTCAACGTGATACAGGATTTCAAGAATTGGCAGAACCTTTAGGGAAGGAAAAAGGGGTGTATCAGTTTAGTCTTCAAATACCTCAGACACTAAACAGGGGAGGCTCTAAAGGTCCCATGTATTGCCCTGCCCTTGACAATCCTCACCAACTCCTCCCTCTGGAAACAACTGCCCCTGAGCAGCGACATTCAGTGTCCAAACACCTTCCATCTGCTTCCTTCTGTCTCACAAGAGAGCCTAAACAAGTGTTTCCTTGCGGTCAGAAATGGAATTTCAATCCCCAATAAATGAGATTCCCAGCCACAGCAGTTACCATAACCTCCAAATGCTTCAGTTCTCCTCTCTACACTACAGGGAGAAGAGAATTGTTAAACAAGATTTTCACTGGTCCAAGCAGGAAAACAGTTGTATTTACCCATCTGTGCTACCACAAGCCTCTTCTGAAAAGCCTTTCCTCATCAAACCTAGCCAAGCACACCAAAGCTGAGGTGAACAGAGGCATTTTGAGACATGAAAGTAAACTCCATTTTGGTGTGTAAAGACAATACCAGGAAAAAAACCCCAGTTTGGGTTTGGTTAAGACTAGAAGAGGCCTGTTTTTCCAATTTTAGATAATATGCAGCCAAAGAGAACTGACTGATCATTATGATTAGAGTTCAGCCCAAGGTCTTGCAACATTTCCACCAGGATGAACAGCTTAAGCCAAAGCCTTGCAATAATAATGAAAATGAGATTTCATTGCAACAGCAAGCATACCTGAATGCTAGTCTAAAGTTAATCCAGATGCAAACATTGTCTCTCTACCAAATGAAAATTAGCTTTCTACTGGCTCAGTACAACGTGGCTTCCCTGGGCTGCAGAAATAGGCCGAAATCACAAAAAAAGCCCTGGAAAAAGGAACTGGAGAAAGCCCTCAGTTCCAAGAAGCTTCTAGACACCTAAAAATTTGCTGTTTTTCAAAACAGGCCAAAGGCAGCTGGATGAATCATGTGAAACCTATTCTGGTGAGCAGCCAGGACACCAAGTGCTTCACAAGGCTCTGAAGTTACCAAAATGTTCTCTTACAGTCAACCATCCTCGAAGCAGTTGGGACATACTAAACCAGTTTTTATTAGAATGAAATGAGATTGCTCTGAATACTGCAGGCCACAAAACCTTTTGACACATGCTTTGGTCAGGGTCAAGAGAAGATGACAACAGAAGCTGAAGGAGAATATGCTCACAGTAACATCTTTATTAATATTAAATCAATATTAAAATAAAATATTTTTTAAAATTACATGTTGCAAACATCCTAACCTTGCTGTTTCAAAGGATCCTTCAGAAACCTCTCTCCCCACTGGAAACCAGAGTACCATCTTTGTGTTTTCTGAATATCAGTCTTGAGTAAAGACAAGGTTTTCCTAGAACTTCTAATTAGCACATAGACAAAAAAAATTGCCCTTTTTGTTGGATGGGGAGAGAGAGAGACAAACATCGTGTGTTGGTCCACCATTCAAATTGTTTCCATCTCCAACACTTGCATGTAGCTTTGCACTGTAAAAGCTCTGTCATTTCCAGGTCCAAGAGTTATTAAAATAAGCTGGATAGAGCTGGAAGCAACATAAAACTAATGAAGAATTGCATTTACAACTTTGCAGTGAGAACAACAAAAGCCTTGCTGAAGGTAACCATTGGAACAACTTAGTTTTCCAGACAGATCCCAGATGGAAGCACAGGATGGTTTGAGTTGGAAGGGACCTTTAAAGATAATTGTGACTCAGTCTGGTTGTGTCAAACCATACAAACCACTCTGGCAAAACATACTCCTTCAGAATAGCTCAAAATATCCCCTCTGTCTACACATATTAATACTAATTGTAACTGAAAAAGTCCATTCATGTTCTCAAGTGCTCCAAGTCCTACAAGTGTGTGGCTACAAACTACATTTAAAAATACATGATACTGAGACATTGCAGTCATTCCCCTACAAGCCAATATGTCAAAGTGCTGTGACTAAAGCTCCACACTTGCTACTGAAGAGTAGTCTGGCACTCCAGACCATGGCAATCAGTCCTCCTGCCCCAAAAAAACCTCTGCTGCTTCCAAAACCTCCACTCCTTTGGCCACATTTCCCTTTCCACCCCTCTTTCAGGCTCTGTGCCATCTACACACTGGACAAAACTCAGGGAGGCATATGGTAACTTAATTCTCTCCCATGTGCCATTTCTGGATGGATCCAGAATCAATTTGTACACTTTTCATAATCCTTCCTCCTTACAACACTTCTTCCTTTGTATACTGATTGCTGAGGTGCACACACATCCTTAGGACAAGTATTACTGTTCTCAAAACAAAAACTAGTTCTTTAGGACAAGTATTACTGTCTCAAAACAAAAACTAGTTAACAAGCAACCACTTCTATTAAAAAGTTACAATAAAGATTCAATTAAAATTCTAATCATATGAAAATTAAAAATTTTAAATACTCTGGGGAAGAGGAGTCTTGGGTGGAACCTGGATGAGACAGTTTTCTTCGAAAGAGGAAGACTTTTAGGTAGTTTCCTTGAAGAAGTCTGGGTCTGAAACCTGGGTCTCAGGTCTCTAAAAGAATTCAAAGAACCTGAGAGATGCCTGGAAGGAGTCCAGCAGGATTCTGGAAGAGACAGATTCCTCCAAAAGAGAAGAATCCTCTCAGTTAATATTTTAATTATATTAAAATTTATCTAGACTTTCAACCAAAAAAACATTTCTATACTTGTGTGCTGCATGCACACATTAAAACTTTTATACCTATCTTCTTATGTAACGGTTTTATCCAACCTTATATTGAGCAGAGAGCCACGACTTCTTTTGTATTGCTGACCCTTTTCTCACAGCCATCACACCACCTCCACTGCATCACTACTAACTCTCCTCCCTCAGGAGCAGCTTTTAACTGGCAAGAAACAGCCACCGTTAAAAAGTTACTTTTAATCCCCAAAACAAGTGGCAGGTAAAAACAGAGACTGAAAATTGCAGGTGCTATATCCAGTCCAAGGTTGGTTTCCCCAGTAAAGTCTAAAAATAGATTGTCTTTAGTACTCAACAAAATACAAGCAGCAACCTGCTTAAGACAAATTTATACTACAGGAAAAAATATTGCTGTAGTATCAGCTGATATAAATACATCACCATGTATGTTATTTCATTCCAATGATGTTGAACAGCAACAAAATCTCCATTCAGCAGCCAAAGAAAACACATCGAATAGCTCATTTCTTACACGCAGAAATCTAAGTGGTGTATTTACTTGCAATACTGGTGCTCATTGCTCTTTCAAACAGAAGAAGGCTTGACAGACTCCCATCCACAGACCAGAACACTATGCTTATCAAAAAATGTGCTAGCTGCCCTCTATTTCACCTGTCCTGCCACTTTCTGGAGGATCCCTGCAAGCACTTTGAAAAGGAATGCCCAATACTAATTGTAACATCAGACATTTAATCAGTTATTTTAAAAAATGAAGTAAAGAAGGACACATAAAGATCCTAATCATTTTGCCAAGCAGAATTATATTAAAAGCAAAAAAAGGTTCTTTATTAACAATAAAACACAAAGTCCAACAGAGGGTGAATGTATTTAGCTGCAACTGGCAGAGGGAGAATCATACAAACGAGGAAGTGAGTTGAGACAGTTATCTGTTATACCAGCTAAGAAAAACAAACTTTAATTTACAAGTTACACTAAAGTTGAAAAAGAGCAGAGACACATTTCAAAAAATCCTTATGAAATGTTACAGAGCACCTTCTGGTGATGCTTCCTGGGCACAGAAAGGGAGACAAATTAAAACAGGGGAAAACACAACACATGGGATGCACTGAGTGCAGTGAAACAGGAAGAACCTGCAAAACCCCCTGAAGTTTAGGATGAACTCTGAGCTGCCTGAGGACGTGATCTCCCACACAGCACCTATGTAGCTTACACCCCATTCATCCACCTGCCTCTGCACAAAGAGGCCACTGATTTACACCACATGCCTCTAAAAAGTCCTCCACCCCCATTCAAAGATCACTTTGACTCTGGATTAATGACCTTACTTTTTCCTCCCATATCTCTGGATAGTGGGAATCAAACCTCCAGGCTTTAATTCTTGCCATCCCTCTCCATAAGCAGAGACTCCTGTTTTTTGAAGGATTCCCCTTTATGAAGGCACATACAGATCCCAAGGTTCCCCAAGGTTCTTCTCTGACCAGCTAGAGTTACCCTCCTAGCCCTCTCACAGTGTTATTGCTAACTTTAAAGCAAAAAAAACCTTCCATGTTTCTCAACAGGGATCCATTTTTCAGCAGTCTGTAACAATTTTTAGCTACAGATTATTGGAAGTACAGTCTGGAAGTACAACACCAGAACAGTGCACAGTGTATCAGCACCACTCTTGCCACACAGGGAAGCCAGCTCCAGTACTCAAGTCCCTTTATCTCATTATCAGGTCTAAGACTGAATTATCCTTTTTCACCACAGGACTGTAGTTAGGAGGTCATAATTTCTTCGTCCACTAGTCCTCCCAGCCCTCCCAATTCTTTTTGGTCTGGCTCCGCCTGCCTTACTGAGCAATTAAAACTGCTCTTCTCAGTTGGCTGCTGCTTATCCTTATCTACTGGCCCAATAGAAAAAAGAGGATTGAACAAAGATGTCAGTTATTTGTCAGTAGAGATCACAAAAAAGCGGCATGAAGAGCAAATTAAGAGAAGTCTCAAATGTCGGTACTGAAAAAAAAATCAAAATACTCAAAAACATACTGTTACTTTTCAGTGATGCTTTTCTGAATTTTTCCAGATTTTCCCAAGTGTTTAAAGTTGCTGATAATGTCTGGGATTTTCTCACTATTTTCTTTAGGTGATAATTTATGAAAATATCCTGCACTGCAGAGTATCTGAGTACCTGCATCTTGATTTATTTTGACAGATGCACCACACTGTTTTTCTGGAAGCTTTACAGTGCATCGGACACCATAATTATTAAACAATGCACACACTTGTCTAGAGCAACCTGGGATAGTGGAAGGCATCCCTGCACATGCAAGGGCCTGGAATAAGATGGGCCTTAAGGTCCCTTCCAACCCAAACCATTCTAGTATATGCTGTGAGTCTAAAGATACAGCAAATTGTTATGGTTAACAGCTGTTAACTTGTCAAATCACACACCAGCAGCCCCAAAAATTATACGTGGCCATTTGTTCACAGAATTCATGTGAAATGACTCAGCCCTTGCCCACATAATCTGCCATGGACACAGGAGTTCAGTCTTGAATCAATTCAGCATCACCATCTCACCCCAGTTTACCAACAGTGGTGTCTATCAACTCTGATTTTAGCAATACATCTGCTAGGACTTGGACTGAAACCAAACTCACTCCATATCTGCCATCAAACAGGCAAGGGATCTAATTACCTGGCAAGATTTCAAATATTAAAATGGAAAGGGTCCTCTATTCTGTTACCAAATCCCCTAGACAGCCATTATCTTATTAAAGGAATGCTTTTTAATAAGTAAGATTTGTTAAAGTGGTTTGTGACATTACTAAAGTGGGGAGCATAAGCTAATTTATAACCTACAAAACCATACCAGGTGTCTGTTATATTGGCCATTAACCACAATCCTATTTAAGCAGCTAAAAGGCACTACAGTTGTATTTCTATAAAATCTGTGAGCTGCTCCTTGAGGAGTTTCAGTCTTAGGTCAACCCTGTGAGACATTTGGCATGTTAGTCCAGTCACAGCTCGTTTTGTTAGCTATTACTCCTGAAAGCACAGAGACAGCTTGTGCAACTTTTTGGCCTGAATATCCAAAAGTGATAAATAAAATAATGAATGGAATGATATCTGCTACCAGTTTCTCTACACAATGATCAGAAGTGGGCAGGTTTGACCTGAGTCATGACAGTGGCACAGAGAAAGAGGGAATCCAAGGTGGTCTTGTAGCTTTAGCAGTACCACCCTTGACTGCAGCGACATGCTCAGCAGCACACTCTTGAGATGATGTCACAAAAATGCTTAAGTGAGCTAGAACTGGCAAATGAGTGATCCAGAACCCACTGCTCCCACTGCAGAACAGAGGCCCCTGGCAGCTGGTGAGACCCAAGTTCACAGGGACAATCCCTGGTGAGGAGAATAAAGGAGGCAGAGCAAGACTCACCAGATTCTCTATGTCTGTCCGTGCCAACACGTAGGTGCGCACGTTGCTGTTCTGATGCAGAAGCATGTACAGGAGAAGAGTGGCTTGATCAGATTTCTGCTGATCACATAAAGCTGTGTATAAACTGTTAAAGTTAATCTGGAAAGCGTGTGGATTTGATGACGAAAAAGCAGTGTTATCTGAAATAAAGAAAAAAAAAATAAAATAAAGTCTTTAAAAAATACATTTATCATTCAGTTATTTGTTAATTTTACAAAATCTCTGGGGGAAATATTTAATACACCACAGAAAGGAGGAAACAAAAATCACCCATGATTCTTATTACCAATGGTCATAAACCATAATAGAGTCTCATAGAGCTTCAGTTGTGCCAAAAAGCTGAGGTTATCCTCCCATATGAACTTCAGTAAGACCCCCAGTACCTGCACAAAACATTCATCCTTTTTCATGAAACAATTTTGTTCCTCCGTACCACTTCCACTGCTAAGAAGGAATGTGATCCCAGCAGCTGCTTCAAGGGGGCAGACACAAAGTCTTCTCTGGAAACAATGTACCAGTGATTAACTAACAAACCCTGCACATCAAACTTACAGGTTTAGTTCTCTGCCGTTAAGGCAGAGTCTCTCCCATCCACCGCTCTTTTGGTATAAAGGGTGGATGTGCACAGGTCAAGATTGCTGTGATATCTCAGGGAAAGGTAGGTGTCAGGACTTTAGAGGTGTGTGGTGGAGAGTTTGGTGAGTTAACTGATGTGAAACATCACATCACATTGTCTGACATCCCTCAAAGTAACAGCAGTTTGTTCATAATCACAATACATTCTGTGCCAGAACTGGAAGTGAAAATAAACAGATTTCTGTTCACAGAACCTTTACCAGCCTCAACAAAAACATCCATCTGCACAGATACCTAAGGTCTAGAAATTCCCCACGGAAACAGAAAAAGCTAGTACTTACAGGGGGCTTTTGAAGAAGATGGAGAGTGAGACAATTTTTATATGGGCAAATAGCCATAGGATGAGGGGGAAGGGTTTTAAACAGAAAGAGAAGACATTTAGATGAGAGATCAGGAAGAAATTCTTCCCTGTGAGGATGATGAGGCCCTGGCACAGGTTTCCCAGAGAAGCTGTGGCTGTCCCTGGATCCCTGGCAGTGTCCAAGGCCAGGCTGGACGGGGCTTGGGGCGAGCTGGGATAGTGGAAGGTGCCTGTGCCCAAGGTAAGAGAGTTGAAACTGGGTGATCCTGAAGGTCCCTTCCAACTCAAACCACACTGTGGTTCTATGATTTTAAGACCATATTCCTACTGAAGTTTGCTAAGTAGCTTTCAACACAGAAGAGCATGGCAGTCGTCATGTATTTTGAACAACATTTCCACCCACTTTGGATGGAAAAAGTGCTTGGAATTGCTGCAGGAGCCCTGCAGGAGCCCTGGCTGCCATTGGTTTTGTGGGGCCCAGCAGACAGCGTGCTGGGGAGCCATCACTCCTCTTGGCCAGGGCAAGGGGGGACAGCTCCAGCCATTGAGCTGGAGGCAGCAGGAGGCCCTGGGGCAAACAGAAGCCCTGCCTGCAGGAGCTGGGAACCACACAGAGGAGCAGCCCCACGGCGATGGAAACCCTGCCCGTCCCAAACCCACGCACCCGCGGGCGCTGGAGAGACTCCAACCTGGCCTTCCTCAACTACTGACCATGACTATGGAGCAGCTGGATTAAAACCTTCCTGCTTTGGGCAGGAATTTCCCTTCAGGAGGAAAAACATGGATGTAGACAGCAAAACCAGAACAATTCAGTCCTTGGTGCCACAGGTCATTAGCTGAGAAGCTCCCCTTGGCTTTGCAGCTTCACTTTTGTGAATGTTTAAGCTGTGTCAACTGGGATTTATAGCATTTCACTATCAGTTTTATTAAAGGATACTAAAAAAGTCCAGTAAAATAAAAATCTAAACAGAATAAAAGAAACTTACCAGCAACACCAGCATATCCTGTATTATTCTGTAGAACAGTAAGCTGATCAACAGAAAAATTAAACTACTCTAGACCATGAACAAAAAAACCCCATCCTGAATTCTAATTTTGTCCCAATTAAATTATAGAAGTTATTTTTTTAAAAATGCCAATTTTCCTTTTATAGTATATATTATTACTGCAACCAGCTTCTTTTTTTCCACATTACTTTCCTCTTACAACCCCCTTAGAATGTTCACAGAAATCAAATTTAAGCTCAATTATGAGTATTGCTAGCGGGAACAAGTTTCTGGGAAACAATAAGTCATTCCATCAACACACACATGTAGAGAAAATATAGCTTTTCATGCTACATTTGACACAAAATAAGTTATTTTGAAATGTTATAATGATGTATGTATAGCGCACTTTATTGAAATACATTACTGGCTACTGGTGGCATGAAACAAAGTCAACCAAAATACAACATTAAAGAAAGCTTGCAGTTTAAACACAGAACAAAACAAAAACTTTATCAACAATTTGATCTCAACCACCTGTAAATGGTACCCAATAAATCAAAGAAGCATGTTAGGACTCAGAATTCTTCTTATGAGAACAATCCTCCACCTTCACAACCCAATAAATTTTCATAGGTAATGGTGAATTAATTTAGAGCTCAACCTGGTTAAAACTTAATGGACAAAGGAATACAAAAACTCCCCAGAAGAAAGTGCATAACTCAGGATATTACTGTGGCTTCACAGGTTGTCACACAGCTCCTGAGCCCTGTGCACAGTGCCAACCTGCACAAAGCCAATGAAAGGTAAAACCACATGGCTCAGGTTCAGAGATTTACGTGTGGGTAAAGTACGCGTGGAAAATGGAGTCCCCACGCCCGCAGGGATTTAAAAGCCATGTGGATGTGGCACATGGGGACAAGGGGTAGTGGTGGCCTTGGCAGTGCTGGGGAATGGCTGGGCTTGGAGGGCATTTCCAACCTGAATGATCCTGTGCTTCTGTGAAAGGCACAGCTGCGTCCTGAGCTCTCTAGATAGCACAAGCTGTGTTAGGGCATTCCCATGCTCAAATAAGACCCTCTGTGAGTCAGTGCCACACGGCACCTGCAGTTACCTGACACACACACTGGATTCTGCCTTCTCAAAACCCAGACAAGCACCAAAACAACTCTGAAACCTCTCATACATACAAAACTCATGGAAGTGTTTATGTCAAACGTTTTTTCTTACATTTGAAATAAAAGAATACAGTCAGCAAACCCAGGCAGCAGTTTATTTATTTACCCTCTCTCTAAGGACCATGACTCCAGCACAAAAAGTGCTACAAATTTTTAGGGGACTCCTGCAGACTCTTGGATAATCAATCTACTTACCGGTTAGTTTTATGTATATTTTATGAAAGTATAGAGTCACAGAATCATCAAGGTCAGCAGAAATCTTCAAAAACTTCCAGTCCAGGAAGTAAACTGGACCAGGACTATGAAGCTTTCTAGTATTTCTCAAGTCAGAAGAATAAAGTATCCTCCTTCTGCCCTACCACAAAGTCCCAGAAGCTGAGGAACTCCACGTCAAAACCCCTGATAAAAATGTGTTATTACTGCTCTTGAATGGGTGTGCTGGAAGGACAACAAATCTTGGAAAGAGAGGCTCTAAGCAATCACAGCATCTTAAAACTCCACTTCATCAGCTCAGGCTCACAAGTAAGAACAGATACAAACCTTGTGTGTTCTTGAAGGACATGATGGCTTGTCTGTAGGGGTTTGGGGTGTCTGGAGTGTCAGTCAGGTTGGCCAGGACCAGCAGCAGCAGCAGGCTCTGGCTGGCCAGAGGGGAGCACTGCTCCAGCTGTGCCGATGCTTTGCTGCCCACCCCACCCAGCGTGAAGACTGTCCACAGGCCAGCTGCAGAGAAAACAACAACAAATAACAGGGTTGGTCATATTTTAATAAACAAGGCTATTTTAGAGTGTAGGTTTAGATTAGATATTGGAACGAAATCCTTCTCTGTGAGGGTGGGCAGGCCCTGGCACAGGATGCCCAGAGCAGCTGTGGCTGCCCCTGGATCCCTGGAATTGTCCAAGGCCAGGCTGGATGGGGCTTGGAGAAACCTGGGACAGTGGGAGCTGTCCCTGCCCATGGCAGGGGTGGGACTGGATGGGCTTTAAGGTCCTTCCAGTCAAACCATTCTCTGATTACACAATTGTACATTGTGCATTTACAGCTCCAGCAATAACGCATAATGTATAAAGACAATGCAATGTCCCCAGAGGCTGCTTGAAAAAATTCTCATTATCACATTGCTTAAACTTTGATGATTGGGACTCAAATGCAGAGTCATTTCACACTTACAGCACTGAAAAAAATTAACTCCAATACTAAACCACAGCATTTGAAATTCCTGTTCCTAATTACAGCAGTGCTGGTGAAACCAGGTGACCAGCTACATGCCCAAATACTGATTAGAGGAGAAGGAGCATCAGAGGAGGAATAAAGGACTCCCCTCATCCCTGTCCAGCAAATCCTTCAGTCCTTATACCCTTGCCACTGCTCATGGGAGTGTATTACAGCACAGGAAAAAACTAAGAAAAGCACTAGAACTGAAACAGAGATGCTGCAGACTCAGCTTTATTGGAGTACAAAGTCAGAGGAAAGGATAAAACCTCTATGTTTTATGACATCTGGGCTCTTCATACACTCATTCCAAGGGAATAAGAAGCAGCCCCTCCCAATCACACAGTATTAGATTCACCCCAAATGCCTGCCTAGCAGTTCATTTTTTTGAGTGTATCTTGAAATTTTATTACAGAGACTAAGCATTTAATCAAATTTAACACGTCAAAGCTTTGAGTTATACAGGTTAAAAATATTAAGTTTTGCTTAAAAAAAGGTAAATCCTTATTTCCTCTTTTAATTAATGCCTAAATCAAAAATTAAATACAATACAGCTTCTTAAAGAAAAGAGAAAAATTAAGAAAACCTAATTTCCAGTCTTCTGGTCATCAAGCTTCAAGGTGTAAATGATAAAATCTTCTAAGTCACTTGAATGCAAAATACTAAAGTATAACCAGTTAAAAGAATTTCAAGTACTCTCAGCCCTACAAGATTTCAAGCCTTCCAATGAGTATTCTTCTTCACATGTAATTATATAGTCAGATTATGTAACAAACCAGTGCTCCCTCATTAGGACAATTGCAGGACAATTACTGCCATGTCATAGGCAAGGGGACTAATGCCACTCAGTGTTAAGGAGCTTGAGAGAGTTCTTATAATAAAAAGTACTATAATTGCAACCTTCTTAGCAAAAATTTCATGTTACATTAGTAACCCTTTATCACCATGTTTTTCACCCCCAGTTTTTATCAGAATGAATGATGTTCACCATGAAGCTTTTCAAGTGGGTTAACCAGAGAGGTAACATGCAAAGAAACTTTTTAAAAACCCTGAAACAACTGTACATTTATCATCACACGTTAAAGAAACTAAAATTCATCAGACTTCCATTTTTAAATCTTAGTGGTTTTCATTTTCTACCACCCCATCCTTCTGTGGCTGCCATCTGCCATTATGTCTTTCCTCAATAGTTAGGAAAAGAAGGATATGGCCAAAAACACCAGTGATTAATCTGACTCTTCCACCAGGGAGAACAAGGTCATGATGTCCAAGAGACATCTGCACATGAATATGTGGCCCAAGTAACCTCCTGAAGTTCTCTTGTGCATTGGCAAGTCCTCCAGAAAGCCAACCCCATGTTACAGGTTCATAACATTCCTTTCAGTTGCAAGGGCACCTAATTCCTTTAGGTGCTAAGTATTGGCTGGTGCTTCCAACACACTCAAGTTAAAAACATTTTAAAGGAAAATATTATTTCTGATCATAAACATCACATTAAAATGCTAAACAGGTAAAGAGCCTGGGACAACAGAGGAACAGGAATTTTCTAGCTCTGTGCAGCAGTATGTTCACAATATCTGAAATATTACTTTGTTAAACCCGATTTTATATTTATGCATATTTGAAAATTACAAGACTATATTTAACTTAACACACAAAACAAAGTAACTTATGCTGGGCTCTCTTAGAAACTTTCTTTATATTCTTTTCAGATCTGAATTTAACAGAAAACATAGAAATATAGACACTGATACAGCATGGATGGAATATTTCAGATTCTGCTTCTTCAGAACATCACAGGGGAAAAAAAAAACCAGAATAAGAGGAAGAAAATTTCATGTTTAAAAGGGATGAAGGCCAGGTTGGACAGGGCTTGGAGCAGCCTGGGATAGTGGAAGGTGTCCCCACTCATAGCAGGGGTAGGAATGAGATGAGCCTTGAAATCCCTTCCAACCCAAATCATTCCACGATTCCATGATTCCATGAAAATTCTTGTTTAAGTCAACAGGATAGCCACAGATGACTGCAACAGTACTAGTTCTGCCAGGCATCATTACAGGCATGAAGTGAAATTTGTCTAAATGCTTCAACATATAGACTGGATTTCTTTCACATTGAGGGTTTTTTTAAATTTACTTCTATCTTCTTGTCATCTTTTTCTACAGCACAAGAGAAATACAAATTCCAGATGTTTTTGTAAAGCTTTCTACATCTCTGGGAGGTAGCAAAGATAAGTGAGAGTCCTCAAAACTAAACCACTAAACTACAAAAAGAAGGAAAGGGTAGATTATCTGAAACAGCGTCATGAGGTACACTGCTTCTGAAGATTTATAAAATCTTCAAAAGGCTCTACAGTGCCAAATACTACCTTTCTGGACCCAATTATAAGTCTGATGAAGTCAATAATCCACAGCCCTAAAACAGCTTCTTCAACGTTGCTGTGGTTTAACACCACACAACCAACCATCCTCTCTTCTCTGGTGAGATGAGGAAGAGAACAGAGAGAAAACACAAAACTCACAGGTTGAGAGAAGGCAATTCAAGAGGACTGGAAAAAAAAAGGGAAAATTATGATGATGATAATAATGATAAAAGAATATACAGAGGAAGTGGCACACAGTACCGATGCTCACCACCTGCTGCAGACCCTGAAGCAGCGTCCACCCACCCCTGGGCAACACCCCCAGAGTTTTATTGCTCAGCATGACAGGATATGGGATATTCCTTCAACAGCTGGGTCAGCCATCCTGGCTATGCCCCCTCCCAGCTTCTTGAACCTTAAGAAACCTTGAAGCTCATCCCATTCTAATCCCTGCCATGGGCAGGGACACGTTCTGCTATCTCAGGTTGCTCCAATCCCCGTCCAATCTGGTCTGGAACACTTTCAGGGATGGGGCAGGCACAGCTTCTCTGGGAAACCTGTGCCAGGGTGTCCCACCCTCACAGACAAAAATTTCTTCTGAAATCATGAGAAGATGGCACGTCCTTGATGCAGAGTAAGCACAACTTAGCAACAACTAAAACATCAGGCTGGTATCAACATTACCCAGCACTGCAACTGCATCCAAGCTGAAAACAAGACAAACATTTAGGTATTTGGATCACTTACTTCACTAACACAGTTTACTGTTTACTGCAGAATACTTTCAATTGCATTTCTCTAATATTTGTCCATCATTTCTAACCGTGTCCAGCTCTGGGCTCCCTAGTACAAGAGGGCCGTGGAGCTCTTGGAGCGGCCCAGTGGAGAGCGACACAAACACATACACTGAAGGGCCTGGAGCATCTCTGTGCCAGGCCAGGCTGAGGGAGCTGGGGCTGGGCAGGGCTGTGGGAGGGCCCTCAGGGCTGTCCCTGGCTGTCCCTGGCTGTCCCTGGCTGTCCCTGGCTGTCCCTGGCTGTCCCTGGGTGCAGGGAGGGACAGAGCAGGGCCCAGGATCTGCTCCAGGCCCAGCAATGGCACCAGAGCCACGGGCAGGGACTGAGCCCAGCAATTCCCCTCACAGGAGGCACAAAAACAGAGACCAGAGAGGAGTGGAGTCTCCCTCACCAAGGATATTCCAGAGCCCTCTGGACACAATGCTGTGCCCTGTGCTCTGGGATGGCCCTGCTGGAGCAGGGAGGCCCTTCCAGCCTGACCAGCTCTGGGATTCACTGATTTAACTTTATTTCTTCACTCAGTCCCACATGGATCCACATTGCTAGAAGTTTTGTCAGTTGGAGAACTGTAAAATTCTGCCAATTATTTCTGCAAAATACTCGAATACTTTAATAAGAAGCTGGGTGTTTTTACCTTTAAAACCAAATTAACAGATTCATTTTTGCCCTTTTCTTTCACCAAACTAGGTACCACAGGCTTTTTTTTCCCTGTCCATACAACTCTATGTAAGGCAGAGCAAGAAAAGCAGGTCATAAGACCAAAGTATGTTATGTTGCAACAGAGAAGCTGAGATTTTCTGTAAGATGGCTGGAAACACAGTTTACAGCCATGAAAACAAAGCCAGCACTTTAATCTAGTTTGACAGTCTGTGAAACAACACTTAATGGCAAAATGAAGTTATGACACAGTCATCAAAATAGAACTTTCTTTCACCTGACTGTTATTTGATGTAAACACAACTCTGCAGAAATCTCAGCCTAATGCCTGGTCGCTGTTACACAATGAGATACAAGTAAGGTTCATGTTTGTATCTACTTTGGAAAAGTTCAAACATACTTATTTATAGTTTCACAAGAATAAGAAGAATTTTAAGAGTTTTACTATGAAGATATTTTGAAACTAAGGGTGCAGAAGGTACTCTAAAATTCATCACAGGCATATAAAGCATTGCAACTTTCAATCAACAACTTCTAACACTATCTACCATTACTTTAAGTCAGAAGATCAACCGACTGTGAGCTGTAATTGATTTTTGAGCTCTCCTGGATTAGTTATTAAACTAGTTGTAATTCTTCATCAAAATGTATTATTCACCTTTCAACCTTCAGTGTCAAGACTCAGAAGACAAACT